TCCCATACATGATATACCATTACACTAACTTTCCTCATGGTTACAACGTGGCTGCCAGCAACATCAGGGAAAACATGTTTCCTTGTGCACCTTATTACCTTTCTGAAACCAAAAATATGGTAAGTTCTAAAACACATCCTGTCCCGAGAGTTTAGGGATAAGAGTATGGAGATCTTAGTGTGGCTGAGCTACAATTATTCCAGGGCCTAGTAGGGAAGGTAGAAATCACATGGAATCAAGATTACCCTAGGAAACCAGTACCCCCAATCATTTGCCTTGAGCAATGTGGCTGCTTCTTGAATTTAGCCCCGCAAGAAGTGGTCAGCTTGTGTTTCGGGGCCATTTGTATGAAAAATGTTTATCTTTAAACTACCAGACTGCATTCGGCCTGTGACAAATGCTCATGCCAGGAGTCACTGGTGACCTGGGTCAGGCCAGGGTTCCCTGTGTCATGCTCATAGAGGGTGGGTGTGGGTCGTCCTGAAGAAAAATGACGGGCCAATTCCCCCGCACTGGTGAAGTTCTTTTCTGTCTTAAATTGTTTCTCTCGTTTTGCAGAGCAGGAAGAAAAGGGTCCCTTTCAGTGCGTGTCGAGGGTGTACCCAACGTGGCTGCGGTAGGGATGCGGGGCTGTGAGAGCCCGAGTGAGGAGAGAGTGAATGCAGATGCCAGCGATGTGGGAGCACCTGAGGTGACAGCTGAGTGGCGCTGTGGCTGTTACCGAGTATCGTGAGGGGCGCTACTCCGGAAAGGGGCCGCTGAGAGATGTGTCGCTCCCCCACCCTCCGCCTTCTCGCCTTCGCTTGGGTCCTCTTCCAGCGCCTTCCAGGGGAGAACGCCCGTCTGTGCGGGTCACAAAGGCGCCCGTTCCAGGGGTCCGAGAACTCCCAGACGCGGGGCTGGGGGTGGGTGCAGCGGGGCCGCGCAGCAAGCCCTCGTCTTGGTGCCGTCGGACCCGCAGCGGCGGTCGGACCCGCAGCCCCCCGGTAAGTTTCACGCCCTGGCGGCCGCGCTTGCCGCTCCACAGCTCACCCTGCTGGTGGCGGCCCCTCGCCCATTTCCTTTAAGCTGCCTTAAGCCTGGAAAATATCATAAGCCCCCTCAATTAAACACAAATAAATTACAATGTGTAAAATAACTTCAAAAAGTACAACAAACTTTCATTTCACCCCCAAAAGATCCCATTTTTAAAAAAGATTTTATTTATTCATTTAATTGACAGAGAGACAGCGAGAGAGGGAACACAAGCAGAGGGAGTGGGAGAGGGAGAAGCAGGCTTCCCGCCGAGCAGGGAGCCCGATGCGGGGCTCCATCCCAGGATCATGACCTGAGTCGAAGGCAGTCGCTTAACCAACTGAGCCACCCAGGCGCCCCCAAAAGATCCCATTTTAAAAAATAATGTTTTGTGTTTCTGTACCCCTACTTGGCTAGCACCCCAAGGATATCTTTAACTTACTACCAGGTTAGGCAGTCTTGGTTCAGGTTTTACAGGCTCCTCTCTCAGACCTGGCATTTTATAACCCACGTAGTCGTGAGTCTGGCTTTTCCTTTAATGGCAGATTGTGAACATTCAGCAGCAGAGGAGGAACCTGCCTCCCTACCCCAGCTAATTAAATGTTAGTTGGTAAAGGTGATCTCTTCATTCATTCAAACACTATTTGCTAAGAGCTTATCCTATGCCCCAGACTATAGAGATACTGTAGCGGATGGAAGGAGGCCCAGGACACCCGAGGGCATGTGCCTGAGGGCAGGCTTTGAGTTTCAGCTCTGGAATTGCAAACTCAAATTCCTGCTAGCTCCAGGCAGTTGCAGGGAATGTGGGAATTGGAGAGAGGAGTTAGGTAGGCACTAGGGAGCAGGGAAGTCTGTAGCCAGGAGAGTCAGTACATTGCCCACATTCACATTTTAAAACACTGATTGATAAACAGGATGGAAGGTAGGTTGAACCTGCCCGTAGGCGTCAAGTTTGAAACCCTGGAATGAGAAGGCAGCGAGCCAGGGGCCAGGATACTGGTGGGGCTCTGAAGGCCCAGCTGTGAGAATGGGGGTGAATCTCTCTGTAGGGAACAGAATGAGCCCAGCCCAGTGGGCACAGACAGAGAAAGGCCTATGTTGGTGTCTGGAAGCTGGAGAGAGCCCAGGGGGAGACTGGCTCTGTGTGTGTGAGTGGTATCAGCAAAAATGTGGGAAGTTGATGGTGCCTCCAGCTCCTGGGGAAAAACACAAAACACAAAAACACAACCAAATAACTCAAGGGCAAGATAAACTGATACTTGACAATCCTGATTCACAAACAAGGTAGATTCATCAAACACCTGTTATGTGCTAGGCAGTGTGCTAAGAGCTTTATAAACATTAGTTTATGCTAAGAGGTGGGTGTGAGTATCCCCATTCTACAGATGAGGAGGCCGAGGCTCAGAGAGGTAGAATCACACCATCAGTGATTGTCAGGTTTACTTGAGTCCTGCTTTTAGAGAGGTATAAGGGGTATCACAGATCCACGGAGGTCCAGAAGAGCCCTTGAACATAGAAAAGCTCCTGGGCAATATGAAATTAGAGCTGCATAAAACTCCCGAGTAGAAAGAGGTCCCAAAGTGAGTATCTTTTGCCTAAACCTTATCAGTCAAGTAAATCCTGCTACAGCCTGTATCCCCACCTTGAGTTCTCTTACACACTGACCTTATTGCTTTCTTGCTTTTAAGGAAAATCCAGACTTTTCCAGACTTCTTTGCCATTCACTTCCCACTGGATGCTGCCACCTACCCTAGATCACACACCATTCTCTGAATACTCCTTTCATCCACTTGCCTCTCAGCCTTTGCCCAGGCAGTTCTCTCTACCCAGAATTCTACCCACTTTTCTTCTCTGCTTGTTGAACTCCTATTCATCCTTCAAAACCCAAATTAAAATTTACCTCCTTCTTTTCCACGATTTTACCCTGGACAGAATTCATACCACCTTGAAGGCTGACTTACCACTGCGTTCCCTAAAGTGTTTAGCACTCAGTAGGGGCTTAGTCTGTGTGCTAAGTGGATCTAAGCACTTCGGGCATGAGAACTCATTTGGTTACAAGTGATAGAAAACTCTCAGATTGTTTTAAGAGAATATGTTGAGTCACGTAACTGGACATGACCCAGAGGTATCTTCAGGCTTGGTTAAGCCCAGGGGTTTGGATGATGTCCCCAAGTTTCAGTCTCTCACCATTTTGTCTTCTCCATGTTAGCTTTATTCTCAGGCTCCCTGCAGAGGCAAGAAGGTTGCCAGCCACTCCCTACCTCATTCAGTAGGCTCAAGAGCAGCAGGAAACAAAGTCCCTCTCTTCTGAGTGTTCAAGATTAAACCCCACTATTCACTCTGCTGGGACAAGTCAGGGATACGTTCCCATCCCTGACAGGATCACACTGGCAGGAGTTGGGGGGTGGGGTGGGATTATGCAGATCAGCTAGGGATCTGGCACTCTGATTGGCCCTTCCAGAGTCACATGCTCCAATCCGATAGGGAGGGGTGGGGTCAGTCCCAGGGAGAAAAACATGACCGGGTGGTTTCCCAGAACAAATCCAGGTGTTGTGACCAGGCGCTAGAGGAATGCTGCACACTCCTCAAGCCTTCATAAACGGTTATTACCCTGGACCTTCACCAGATGAAACAACCCATACGATACCATATCATACCAGCCCCTGTTTACTGAGCACTTACTATGTGCCAGGCTCAGTGAGGTGCCTTAAGGCTTCCCAACCTGTGAGGTGCCTTCTAGAACTTCTCTTATTTACCAGAGGAGGAAATGAGGCCCAGAGGACGGAAGTGACTTGCCCAAGGTTAGTAAGTGGAGAAGGAGGAAATTTGTCGAGATCTGATGATTGACACAACTAATACTTTATTTTTTAAAAAAGATTTTATTTAGGGGCGCCTGGGTGGCTCAGTCGTTAAGCGTCTGCCTTCGGCTCAGATCGTGATCCCAGGGTCCTGGGATCGAGCCCCACATCGGGCTCCCTGCTCCGCGGGAAGCCTGCTTCTCCCTCTCCCACTCCCCCTGCTTGTGTTCCCTCTCTCACTGTGTCTCTCTCTGTCAAATAAATAAAATCTTTTATTTTTTAAAAAAGATTTTATTTGACACAGAGAGACAAATAAATAAAATCTTTTATTATTTTTTAAAGACAGAGACAAATAAATAAATAAAATCTTTTATTATTATTTTTTTAAGATTTTATTTATTTGAGGAAGAGGAAGAAGAAGAAGAAAAAGAAGGCGGCTCTTCTCACACCCTGTCAGCCATCTGCCGAGTCCTCCACATGCGCCAAAGTGGTGGGAGGAGGAAGGGACTGAAGGTGGGGGGGGGGGTAAAGGAGAAGGTGCCACTGGGCCCCACACTGCCAGCGGGTGGCTCACACATTGTCTTCCGTTTGCCGCTGTGGACAGGACATTGCAGAGAGAGAGAAGAGCACTCACTGGTTTTGACCGCCCCGGTGTCTGAGCATAGCGAAAGCACAATTCCTTCAAGATGCCGATGGTAGGTATTAGCTCCTGTGTGTGGAACGCTTACTGTGGGTCAGGCACTGTGCTAGCTGCTAGGCACATACTAGCTCATCTAATCCTGACAACAAATCTATATGCACCCATTTTAGAGATGAGAGACTGGAGGCTCAGAAATGTTAAGTGATTCAGCCAAGGTCACACAGCGAGGCCGCCTTTCAGTATGCAATAATGAGGCCCAGCCTCCTCTCTACCCTGGCAACCCAGAGCAGGTTTTCCATGTAACAGATAAGCAGTTGACATCACCCAAGGGTGTTGTTCTTCCACCTCTAGCCCTGCCCCCAGACACCTTCCTGCCCTCTGCCCTTGAGCTGAAATGTAGGCTTCTCTGGTCACCTAACCCGTTGCTCAATGCCTCTCCCCATCTCACCCAGTCAAAGAAGCACAGGAGAAAAAGCTCCGAAACCATCCAGGAACTTTCGGAGAAGGTCAAAGAGCAGCTGGCTGAGGCTGAGCTTCGGAAGCTGAGGCAGCAGTTCAGGAAGATGGTGGAAAGTCGGAAGTCCTTTAACTTCCGCTCCCAGCAGAAGATCTCCAACCAGCAGTAAGCGATGGCCAGAGTTTTATACTGAGTGAACTTGGAGAAAACTTTGGATTTGGTTTCATGCGGTGTGCCTTCTCATGCGGCCTCTGAGCAGGGACCCGATTCTGAACCCAATCTGGGTATCTAGGTGGGATAGCTTCAGTAGCCGGGGGTATTTATTTGCAGAATCCAGGCTGTCACCAGGACTCCAAGGGGGAGCACCACACCAAGAGGCCCCCGTGCGTGAATCAATTCCAATCCCAAACTCCCAGGAAAGGGGGAATCTGATTGGCTTAGCTTGGGTCAGGCGTCTAATCCTGGTCCTGGTCCAGTCAGCTGTGGCCAGGGGGCGGGGACTGAGCCTTAGGATACAAAATGGCTCTTGAGTGTCACTCGCATGGTTCTAGCAACCCTGGTGGGGGAGTTCCCAGAGGAGGGGAAATAATCAGGCTGTGGCTATCCCAAAAGATGTTTCCTGCTATGCCTCCTTATGGAATCTGCAAGATCAAATATTTGAAATTTGGTTGTCCTAGAAATTATGATGTGGATAGCTTTTTTAGACAATAGAAAAGTGTTCCCTGGGGTTGAATAAACAAATATCCTTAGATTCCCTCCAAAGGAATGTAATTCCTTAGCTACCTCCATAACGTTTATACAGGCAGAAACTGCCCATTATTAGAAAGAAAATCTTACTGCTTGATGTTATGTGAACTTCAGAGGATAGGGGAAGCGGGGCGGTTCAGAGTTTCAATGGATTTAACTCCGACAGTCCCTACGGGATCTTCATGTGCATTAGAAAAAAGCACCCTTTCTCAGGACACTTTACTGCCATCTGTTGGAAACACTGTCATTACCTAGGGATTTTGTTCGAACAAGATGAAGCATCTCCCAGGAAAGTATAGTAAATCAAGAAATCAATGATTGCTTTTCAAGCAGACAGAGCTCCCTTGGACAGTGCAGTCCACAACCTGCACATCTGTGCGTGGCAGCCCTGATTCAGAGCCTACCCCTGGTGGGCATCAGGAAAAGCCTCCTTCCTGGTGGGTCTCTGACAGTTTTTCTCGAATCTTACCCTTCATCCTACTTTTACTCCAGTCCATTTGATCTGGTTTCACTGTGATGGACCTGAAGGGGAGGGGTGGAAAAGTGGAGATCTCAGATTCTTCAAGCGAAACACCTATAAACAGGGGCCAGGACTGAGATGAACTGAGTTGCCTAGCATGCAATATTTAAGGAGACACTTTTTCCTCAGTGCTTGTCCTGCACCTGTACCCCCTGAGAGTGAGGGCCTCCTTAAATTTGGGAGCACCTCACTCCCAGTCCCAGCCCAGCTGATGAGACAGACAAACCTTCCTTTTGCTTTTACTGAGTCCTCTGAACTCCCAACTCTGGTGGACTCTTGTGCTCTTTTTTTCTCTCCACCTTAACAAAGACCCCCTCCCAAGAGTGGCTTAAGAGGGGGAGAAAGGTCCCAGCTGCCAGATTTAGAAGACAAGTAGCTCTAGAATTAGGGGTACACTCCCACATGGGGCTATTTACATTTGTAGTTGATGAAAAAACATTAAAAATTCAGTTCTTCAGTTGCACTAGCCACATTTCAAGTGCTCAATAGTCTTGATGCCTGGTGGATGCCAGCAGACAGTAGATAGAGAACATTCCCATAATTACAGAAATTCTACTGGACATGGGCACCTGGGGGGCTCAGTCGGTTAAGCATCTGCCTTTGGCTCAGGTCATGATCCCAGGGTCCTGGGATCTGGCCCTAAACTGGGCTCCCTGTTCAGCAGGGAGTCTCCTTCTCCCTCTGTGCTCTCTCTCTCCCTCACTCTCTCAAATAAATAAATCTTTTTAAAAAATGTGCATATGCGTGACTTGAGGATCTTGTCACAAAGCAGATTCTGATTCAATAGGTCCTGGGTTGGGGCCTGAGCTTCTGCATTTCTCCAAGCTGCCAAAGGATATGTAGTCTGCAGACTGCACTGCCCAGGGCGCTGGGTGCCCAGACTTTGCCAGAAACTCGGCCTCTGCGCCATTTCCCTTTGTTCAGTTGCCGTCTCCTGAGCCTTTTTTCTTTTCAAAAGCCCTGTTTGTCCACACTCCGACCCCTCTCCTCTCCAGAGTAGGGAGAGGGAGAGAGAGGAGACTCCTGTCAGCTGATTTAATAAATCATTAGCACCCTGCGTAGAGAAACTGGGCGAGGTTGGAGGTTACTGCGCATCTCTGTGTTGATGCGAAATTGAAAATGCCTGCCTGATGGGCTTGCTTCTCATTACCAGAGATAATTGGCTGTAAAGTCTGGAAAGAAAGTCAGCAAAATCAGACAGATGCCCGTGAACTGCTGGCAAAAGAGAGGACCTGCCCCCCGCTACCCCCCCCGTCGCCCCCATCCCGTCTAGGTAATGGGTTTTGACAGGCACAGCTGCAAATTGTTCCCTGGGGAGAAAAGGCCCCCTAGCGAGGGGGCGG